TTAATATACTAAAAAAGAAAAACCCCAAAACCCCAAAACCCCAAAACCCCTCAATTCAATAAACTTAATGATTGAGCAATTTATGAAATTAAGAATTAATTAGCGCTTTAATATTTTCATTATCTTGAATTACAGATTTGTGATTCTTTCATTGGATATACTTTGGCTTTTGCTCCCATAACTTAAAAGTCCTATCAAACGAAGTTGATATCACATATTTGAGATCACTAGTCATATTTACAGAAGTAACTTTGTTTTCATGACCATTTAATGTTCTTAAAATCACCCAGTCCCCTGTTTCCCCAGTGCAGCCCCATATCTTGCATTTATTATCATAAGAACTTGTAAGCATCAGTAATTTACCCTCCTTTTATTCCACAAATTTAATGTCTGAAATAAGCTTAGTATGTGCAGGAACAGTCTGCACACAGTTCTTCCTTCTCATATCCCAGATTTTAACAGTATTATCATCACTTCCAGTTGCCACTTGATATCCATTCGGTAGAAATTTCATTGAGATTATTCTTTTCACATGACCCTAGAAGGATAACACATTTTGACCTGTCCTAAGGTCCCAAACAAGTCCAATACCTTAGAAATCTCCACTTGCTAGCAATGATCCTTCTCTTTAAAAAGTCAATGGGTATATTTCAGCAGCGTGTCCCTCTTATACTAAAATATCTTTCTTAGTGGTAATGTCCCATAATCTCCAAGTCTTATCAGCACTTGAAGAGGCTAGGTGCTAACCCATTGGGTGAAAATCGATATGATTGACAACGTCATCGTGTCCTTTCAGTTCAATGCTCTTCTGAAACTCATATTCTGGATTCAAACTCCAAAGTCTTATTGATCCATCTGCAGAGCAAGTGGCCACATTTGGTCCATCCTCTGGAATATCACCGGTAAAGGGATGAAACCTAATAGAATTTACTCTGTCAGTATGTCCTCTCAACTCAGTTCTAACTTGGCAATCAGGAATACCCCAAATTTTGCAAGTGCCTGACCACCCGCTTGTTGCAAATAGCTCTTAGTCTGGTGAAATGGCACCTCTTGAGACATTTCTATCATCACCATATTGTGATTCTTTAACCTCATAGTTATGTATACTATTCAGGAATTCTTCAATTTCCTACTCTTCTCTCAGTCTGTCAATTTCGGATCTTCTCTTTTTAGCTTCTGCAAGTCTCCTCTAAGCTCTTGGCAGAGAATATTTAGCAAAGAGAAGTCTAGCATCCTTTAATTCTGTTCCTCCCTCAGTGTAAAACACTTCATTCTCATCGTTTTCATCCTTTCCAGCATCCTATTGGGATTCATCGACAAACTTGTGGAAAAAAACAGGAGCTTTGCCCTCCTCGATGTAATATTTGACAATTACATTCCTGAGTCTTTCCCTTCTATCTCCTGGATCTTCTCCAAATAAGCAAATTGGTTAGCCCATTTCTCTTAGTCTGAGTTTGACTTCTTTATCATTCGTAGGAATGGGTAGATTCTTTGCCTTTCTTTAAATTTCATGCATTCTCATAAGTCTTTCATGAGCTCTAATAGCATCTGCATTTTGCTAAAATATCAAACTATATGATTTACATCAGAAAGTGAGAGGATTGAGGATTGACCACTGCTAGATTATTAAGGTCTACTCTGTTACTAAATAATTTGCTAAGGAACTTATAATGGAGGTCTTTGACCAGGTAATCTAGAGATTCCTGACACTCCTGACGCCTGTAAATAATTATAAGTAATTAATTACCCTAGTTGATGTTGAGAGTGTATCATCATTTGAATTGTCCATTTTATATTTATGTTTATTATTATATCAAACTATTATATATTATATTATAAGCTAAACTGGGGTTTTGGGGTTTTGGGG